TTTTATGCATAATTACCGAAAATTTTAATACCTTTCCCAGAGGAATAATCTTGAATATTAAGTTATCAAAAAAAATATAAATACGAGAAAAGAAATCAAGTTCCGCTGTTACATAATTTATTTTTGTGAAAATGGGGAGAAGAAAAAATGCATTCTGCGCTATGCGCAGTGGGTATTATAAAAAATGCATTCTGCGCTGTACGCAGTGAGAATTATGTAAATCCATTCTGCGTTTTACGCAGTGAGTATTATTAAAATGCATTCTGCTCTTGGGTAGGTGAGTATTATCAAAATGTATTCTGCAATGAACGCAATGAGTATGATGAAAATGCATTCTTTTAATACCTTTCCCAGAAGAATAATCTTGAATATTAAGTTATCAAAAAAAATATAAATACGAGAAAAGAAATCAAGTTCCACTGTTACGTAATTTATTTTTGTGAAAATGCGGAGAAGAAAAAATGCGCTATGCGCAGTGGGTATTATAAAAAATGCATTCTGCGCTGTACGCAGTGAGAATTATCTAAATTCATTCTGCGCTTTACGCAGTGAGTATTATTAAATTGCATTCTGCTCTGGGGTAAGTGAGTATTATGAAAATGCATTCTGCAAAGAACGCAGTGAGTATGATGAAAATGCATTCTGCGTATTACGCAGTGATTACTCTGAAAATGGATTCTGCGTTAAACGCAGTGATTAATATGAAAATTAATTGTGTGATTAGGGAGAATTATGGGTTCTTTAATTTGCTTTCGAGCGAACAATGATAAACAAGAAACGGCAGATTTCTAGCTTTAGAAATCATAGTTAGCTTATTTACTATAGAGAGTAGTATAATAGGGCTACAGGCGAAGGTCTACTATAAAAACCTAACGCGCCATTAGGTGGTACCTCTGGGGTGGTGTGGAAATCCACCATTCTAATATTAAAAGGTGAAATTTGAAAATTTGGCGGCATTATCAATGTGGAAAGTTGGCTATTTAAATTTGGCTTCATGATAAACGAAGTATAGTGAGTTAATAAGCAAATTATTAAATTCCAGATTTTTTTTTAAATGGATGTGGTTGGTGTAACTATCACAAATTCTGTTGGATAAAGATTACAAATAATTTCAAAACAAAATAACTAAAGAAATAATTAATCATATTTTAATGAATTAAATTTGAAGTTTCATTTTAAAAAAACTTGGGAACGATATTAAATATAATTAGGAATAAAGTACCTTAAAGTAAAGTGAAGTGTGAAAATTAAAAATTTGCACATGGCTTCCTCATAGAGGAAGGTTTAGGAGCGAAATCTATTTTTTTTCGAGATTAGTTGAAAGTTAGCAAATTATAAAGTTGGACAATTCTTCCTCATTATTGAAGCGTGCAAATTTGAAATTTGGACATTTTTTAGATGTTTCTAGAAAGTATGCAAATTATAAATTTGAAGATTGCTTCCTCATCAATGAGGCGTGAAAATTGAATATTTTCTGTTTTATAAATTTATCTTGAAACGGTAGAAATTATAAATTTGGAAATTGCAACCTCAAAATTTAAGCTAGCGAGTTTGAATTTTAAACAATTATTCCGCATCATTAAAGTAGACAAATTAGAAACTAGCACATTGCTTGAACTGTAATGGCTACTTCATAGAGGAAGCTGTAGGAGAGAAATCAAAGTTTTTCCATAGTTTATCGAAATTGGGCAAATTATAAATTAGCATATTACTTCCTAATCATTAAATCGAGCGAATTAGAAATTTGAACATTTCTTCCAAATGAGTAAAGTAGACAAATTAGAAATTTGCACGTTGCTTCAATTGTTATGGCTTCTTCAAAGAGGAAGCTTAAGGAGTGAAATCTAACTTTACTAAGATGTTTCTTGAAAGTATTGAAATTATTCTGATTTGACACTTAAAGCTTCCTCTATGAGGAAGCCATAACAATGGAAGCAATGCTGCAAATTAGTTAGAAAAAAAAATTAAGTAAAGTTTGCAAATAAAAAATTTGCAAGTGGCTTCGTCATAGAGGAAGCATTAAGTGTGAAATCAGAATAATTTCAATACATTCTACTTGGAATTTTGGAAACTAATGCTCGTAGTATATGGACATGAAGAGAGAGTTTAGCATCTAGAATGAATAATACAACTAAAATCTTCTATCTCCAGCTGGATTAAACGCTAGAACTTGTACGCGATACTCTGTATACTTGTCAAGAAAGACTAAATTGTGCGTCAAACAAGATGCAGGAACGACTTGTATCTCTTCTTCCTGTTTTTTCTCTAAATCCTGAGGGGAGTTGGTCACTAAGTAAAAAATCTGGGATAATAAACAGAAATTTCTTTTTATACTAAACATTTTAAATTAATTAAGTAATACTGTAGTGTCA